ATTTCATGACATGCTCTCTGCTTATTTTCCTCCCATACTGCTGGCCACATCTCTGGCTTGTTCCTGGACTTTGATCCTGGTCCTTGTTTGCTTTTTATTTTATTTTTTGTTTGTTTGTTTTTTATTTTTTTGAGTGGGAGTCTCTGACTCCCAGGCTGGAGTGCAGTGGGCCCAATCATGGCTACCACAGTCTCCACCCGCTGGGCTCAAGCGATCCTTCTGCCTCAGTTCCCCGAGTAGCTGGAACTGCAGGCATGCACCCCCATGCCTGGCTAATTTTTAAAAATTTATTGTAGAGACTGGTCTTGAACCCCCCGGTCTCAGGCAGTCCTCTCACCTCTGCTTCCCACAGTGATGGGATTACAGGGGTGAGCCACCACTCCTGGCTAAAGTTTGCTTTTGAAGTCAAGTAATTTTTTTAGCAAATACTGAAGTATATCATGGTAGTAGCAGACATTGCACTGAGATGATTTTCTTCTTTTTAATTGACAAAAAGTAATTTGTGTATATTTACAGGGCACAGTGTGGCGTTTTGATCTATGTATGCATTATAGAAAGATCCAATCAAGCTAATTAGCACATCCATCACCTCTCCAGCTTATCATTTTTTGTGATGAGAATGTTAAAAATCTATTCTTTCAGCAGTTTTGAAATTATAATTAACTGTGGTTACCATACAGTGCAATAGATTACTAAAACTTAAGAAAACAAATGCACAAAATGTGTGGGCTTTTTCTTTTTTTTTTCTGAGTCAAGTTCTTACTCTGTTGCCCAGGCTGGAGTGCAGAGACACAATCACAGCTCACTACAGCCTCATCCTCTTGGGCTCAGGCGATCTTCTCGCCTCTGCCTCCTGGGTAATTGGGACTACAGGTGTGTGCCACCATGCCCAGCCGATTTAAACAAATTTTTTTTTTAGTTAGTCTTACTCTGTCACCCAGGCTGGAGTGCAGTGGCATGCTCAAGGCCACTACAGTCTTGACCTGCTGGTTTCAAGTGGTCCTTCCGCCTCAGCCTTCCAAGTAGCTGGAACTATAGGCGTGTACCTTCACGTCTAGCTCATTTTTTAAAATTTAATGTAGAGACAAGGTCTCGTCAAATTGCCCAGGCTGGTCTCAGACCCCTAGACTCAGGCAATCCTCTTGCCTCAGCCTCCCAAAGTGTTGGGATTATAGGAGTGAGCCATTGCACCTGGCTAAACATTTTTTAATAGAGACAAGATCCTGCTAAGTTATCCAGACTGATCTCAAACTCCTGGGCTCAAGTAATCTTCCCACCTTGACCTCCCAAAGTGCTGATATTACAGGCGTGAGCCACTGTGCTCGGCTTGAAATGTGCTTTTGAATGAATGAACAGAGGATGTCCTGGAGACCAAGGACAGATGGAGGAGCTGGAGGGGGTGGGGTGGGGCTTCCCAGGAGGTCTTGCTGTTTCTTTCCCCCTGCCTGGTACATCAAGAGCCAGGCAGCTCAGGGGGCCCTGGGCCTCTCTCCCCTCTGCTTCAGAGAGTTCTCTACTCAGACACTGAGGATGGTCTCCGAGCTTTGAAGACTTTGCCTGACTTTCCAGGGCTGTGAAGATGAGGTCCCTGCCTAGAGGTCTCTTCCCTGGTCCTGGAGTCAGAGAGGCCACGTGCTGTGAAGCCAGGGCTTGGGTTTGTGATATTGGCACTGGCCTAGTCCCAGCTCCTCCAAGACTCTATGATTGGGACAGGCTCTGTGAAGGGGGGATGACAGTGGCTAGCAGGCAGGTGGGGAGGACTAAGTGAGAAGGGATAAAAGATGTCCGGTAAGCCGGTCGCAGTGGCTCAAGCCTGTAATCCCAGCACTTTGGGAGGCTGAGGCTAGAGGATTGCCTGAGCTCAGGGGTTTGAGACCAGTCTGGGCAACTTGGCAAGACCTCTTCTCTATGATAAAAAAAAATTAGCCAGGTGTAGTAGCATGTGCCTATCATTTCAGCTACTTGGAAGACTGAGGTGGAAGGATTGCCTGAGCCCAGGTCAAAGGCTGCAGTGGCCATGAGTATGCCACTGCACTCCAGCCTGGGCGACAGAGTGAGACCCGAACACACACACACACACACACACACACACACACACACACACACACACACACACACACACAAAGTCCAGCAAGCAACAGGGGCTTGGCAGGTAGCTGCTTGGACTTCCCAGACACGGAGCGCAGGGCAGCCAGGTGGCTCCTGGGGGTGGAAAAACCCAGGCAGAAGAACCTGGGAGGAATTCTCAACACAGAAAAGAAGGTGTGGCCTCCTAGAGTTCTTTATATGGTTGGCAAATACGAATGAATGAGTGAATTAAGCAACACCAGAGGAGCACGGCAGAGGTGCTGCTGGCCCTCATGTAGTTGGTGGCGGTTGTTCACGTTTCAGTGACCCAGCCAACGCTTGGCACATGGTAGGTTCCCCAAATACCTGCTGACTGTCCCTGGAAAAGGCATCCTGGGGAGGCCAAAATAGGGTCAGGGACATGAGACAGCTAAACGGATGAAATCGTTAGACCCCTCCCCACCCACCCCACAGATGAGACTTGGGCTCTAATTTCGCAACTGGCTTCCAGGATTGAGTTTGTTTCTTCCCCAGCCCTAGAGGTCTCCAACTAGGGCCTGTGTGGGGTACAGAAACTGCAGGATGCTTCATGCCCCACTTGATCACGAAAGAGGAACCAGGCACAGTGGTTCATACCTGTAATCCCAGCACTTTGGGAGCCCGAGGTGGCTAGGAATTCCAGACCCACCTGGGCAATATACTGAGACCTCATCTCTACAAGATATTTAAATAAATAAAATAAAGTCAAAAGAAGGAGGGAGCAGGAGGGGAAACCAAGGTCTGGGGACAAAACTACTGCCTGCCTTGGTGTCCTTCAGGGTTGTCTGGGACTGGGGGCAGGCAGGTGGGAGGCCTGTGGCCTCTCCTCTGCTGGGAGTGGCTGGGGTTTCCATCCTCCTCCCTTGGGGCAAATGCCTCTTGTACATCTGGGGACAGATCTGGAGCAGGTGGCATGGAGTCTGTGCGCACTAAACAGCTGCTGTGGCCACTGCCTATGTCAGGGAGATCTCTGGGGGCCGGGGGGAAGGGTGGGGCTGGGGGCCCTGGGGTCTGGGTGCTGTCTTACCAACAGGCTTTTCACAGTGGCCTGGGGTGTTCCCGTGAATATCAGAGCCCCAAGCAGCCATTGGCGAGCAGGAGGAGATCAGAAGTGAGGGTGTAGGGAGCCCTCTTCTGCCTGCCCCAGGGAAGCACCTCTGGGCAGGCGCTGCCGGCTCAGGCTCAGTGGTAGGGGATGTGCCGCCTGGCTGATGGCATTTCCTGGCGACATACAGTGGCGGCTGGAGGGGAGGTGGGTGGCAGAGCCCAGGGCAATGGGCTGAGAGACGTAACAGAGCCCCAAGGAGACCCTCAGCTGGGGGACTTGGTGCTCGTGGAAGACGTGCCTCAGAGGGCTCAGAGCCATTCCACGGGGCACCAAAGAGATCCCGGCGCCTCCCTGCTCACACCCTACATTCCAGGATGCTGGAAGCCTCTGGAACGTAGACTCCCTGGGGGAAACTTTATCTTTGTTTTTGTGGCTCCCGGCTTCTGGTTAGACCCATCCATGGGCAGTGAGTTCCCTATCTTGGCCATGGTCAAGTGCAGGTAGTCGGGATGGCCCCTGAGGAGGTGTCTTAACCATGAAATCACTAGTGGGATCAGGGACGGTGGAAGGCCCTGGCACCCTAAAGCTGCACAGCCATGTCTAGGGTATTGGTGTATGGCCAAGGACTGTGGTGTGGGGGTGGGCTCTGTGAGTGTCACCACTAGAGTCACCTCTTCACTACAGGGCGGTGCTGTGACCTCCCACTCCTGCCTCTTCTGCAAGACCTTTCCTTCTTTCCTTTCACCTGCCATCAGATGTAAGCGTTGGCCTCCTCTCACCCGACAGGGGAGGCTCGGGGTGAGGCAACCTGTCAAGGACAGGGACAGGTGAACCCGACCCAGATTCCAAGCCTGGCTGGTGTGTGCCCTGAGGCTGGATTTCCCTGGACACACACCTTCATCTTGCAGCTGTGAGCTCAACTGCTTTGCTCGTCCCCTCCCTGGGTCCTGGGAGCTGGGACTGGGAGGGGCACAGCCTTGCCCGCTTCCTCCCCCCAGCACAGTGTGGGCGGAGGGCCTGGTTGCGGGAAACAGTCTATTGTCCTGCACTGGAGGGGGGTCCTGCTGTATTGTTAACACCCTTTGACTTTACGGGGCAGGGAGGCCTGATGGTTAGAAACATAAGACTCCCTCAAACTTTCTCATGGAGGTAAGACCCTTGGGGAATGGTGGGCCCAGTGGAGGCTGGCCTGTCTGGGGCCTTGGAAGAGAAATGCGGGAAGAGGTCTGGAGACCACCTTCTGGACATGCCTTCTGCTACCAAGCCTAAACCGGCGGCAAAACCCAGAGGGAAGTTGGTCTGGCTGGTGCCTTTGCCCCAAGCTACCCTCTTGCCCAGGGCAGACGACTTGGCGCCCCTGGTCCTGGTCTTGCTGATGGCAGGGCTTTTGGAGGGAGGCTCCAAGCTGGGGCTTACCTGGTCCCAGTGGGACCAGCATCATGGGCGAAAGGTGCTGTGAAATGGTCTAAAGTGCCCAGGCCAGGGCTTGGCATGCCAGGACCACGACGTGGCAGCCACCGTGCATTGCGGTGATGTAGGAAGGTCGGCCACACACTTTGACTGAATCGCCTCCATCTAGTATCACTCTCAAGACAGCAATGTGCAGATCACCAGGGTGACTAATTGGAAGCTTTTTGGGCAAAACAGTCTCCTTGAGGCCTTGGAAGGTTCTGGAGGCCATGCCAGAAACTCGCTCGGGGCTGTGCCTTGTGAGAGCCATTGATTCCTGGGCCAGGGTTTTATCTTCCCGGGGACCTCCACGTGGCTCCTCGCCCTGCCCGCGGGCCACGCCCTCCATGCCTGCCACTCCCACACCTGCCCAGGCTGACTCCCTCTCTGTTCACAGGCTGCTGAACAGGATGTCCACGGACGACCGGCACCTGGGCTCCAGCTGCGGCTCCTTCATCAAGACGGAGCCGTCCAGCCCATCCTCGGGCATTGATGCCCTCAGCCACCACAGCCCCAGCGGCTCGTCCGACGCCAGCGGTGGCTTCGGGCTGGCCCTGGGCACCCACGCCAACGGCCTGGACTCACCGCCCATGTTCGCGGGCACCGGGCTGGGGGGCGCTGCATGCCGCAAGGGCTACGAGGACTGCGCGGGCGGCCTCATGGAGGACTCGGCCATCAAGTGCGAGTATATGCTCAACGCCATCCCCAAGCGCCTGTGCCTGGTGTGCGGGGACATCGCCTCTGGCTACCACTACGGCGTGGCCTCCTGCGAGGCCTGCAAGGCATTCTTCAAGAGGACCATCCAAGGTGCGTGGGGGCTACGGGCGGGTGGGGGTGTCCTGGGGGCCGTGGGGACAGTGGCTCTGAAGGGCCCGTGCCTGTTGCTCTGAGGGTCTCCCTCTGGGATTCTGGACAAGGACTCTAACTACAAGGCTATTGAAGTGAGTGCACCCCCCATTGGGCACCCTAGAAAACCAAACCCCTAGAAAACACACAGGAACGCCGAAGCCTGGGCGGCCCTCACTTGCATGGGGCACACTCTGACATGTGTGCCTCTCAAAAGTTTATTTTATGGGGGAAAAAGGCATCATCTGCCCTGTGATTCCAGACCCACTGAGAAACAAAGGGTTTCTCCCTTTGCTCTTATCTTTTTGAATTTTTTGAGTTGGAGTCACTCTGTCATCCAGACTGGCAGCCTCGACCTGCTGGGCTCCAGCGATCCTTCCGCCTCAACTGGAACTACAGGCACGTGCTACCACATCCAGCTAATTTTTATTTATTGGAGAGATGAGGTCCCACCAAGTTGCCCAGGATGGTCTCGAACCTGTGGGCTCAGGCAATCCTCTCACCTCAGCCTCCCAAAGTGCTGGGATTATAGGTGTGAACTACCATGCCTGGTCTTTTTTTTTTGAGCTGGATTCTCACTGTTGCCCAGGCTGGAGTACAGTGGCACGCTCATGGCCACTGCAGCCTTGACCTGCTGGACTCGGGAGATCCTTCTGCTTCAGCCTTCCAGGTAGCAGGAACTACAGGTGGATGCCACCACTCCCAGCTTATTTTGTGATTTTTTTTGCAGAGACAAGGTCTCACCAAGTTGCCCAGGCTGGTCTCCAACCCCTGAGTTCAGGCAATCCTCTCACCTCCACTCCCAAAGTGCTGGAATTATAGGCATGAGCCATCGCTCCCAGCTTGCTTTTATCTTTTTTAATTACACAAATAAGACGTGAGCATTTTATCATTTTAAAAAACTCAGGACTGTGAGAATCAAGATAGGAACTCACTCCTGTCTGATCCCAGTTTAGCCTGTTTTCTTTTGCTTTATTTTTATTTTTTTAGAGATGGGGTCTCCCTCTGCCTCCCAGGATGGAGGGCAGTGGTGCAATCACAGCTCACTGCAGCCTTGACCTCCTGGGTTCAAGCCGTCCTCCCGCCTCAGCCTCCCTGGTAGCTGGGCCTGCAGGCGAGCCACCACCCCCACCCCTCCCCCATCTTCGGCCTATCGGATAAGCCTTTCTTTCAGTGCATTTACATATCAGCTGAGTCACCTCCTCGTGACCATGGGGGTGGCAGCCTCTATCTGTGATTCTGGAGTGAATTGCTCCGATAAAGGCGTGCAAGAGCCTGAGGGTTCCTCTAAAGTCTCTGGAGGTAAACTGAGGATAATGGTGGGTCTGCCCTCATAGGACCGCATCACCAAGTTGACGGCACGGGGGGAACTGCGTGGCACACGGAGCTGTGGTGCTCACTGCAGTGGCCGTCGGTAGAACCCTTGCTTCTGTGAGTACCTACTAAGTGCCGGGCGTGTCTGTAGGTGCAAGTGACAGATGAGACACAAACCCCTCTCATGCAAGTCACGGAGGTGAGCTGACGCCACCCCACTGGGACAGACACTGCAAGCCAGGCTGGAGAAAACCCAGGGTACACCTGTCCTGCCCCCACCAATCAGATCCCTCTCTCGGGCCCTACCTGGCTGTCCCCAGGGTGTCCCCCGTCACCAATTTTCCTTTTGGAAGAGGCAGACTAAGCTTCCCTGGGACTATTTATTTGTTTAGGTTTCTTCAGCTGACAGTCTATTCATTAAAGCAGCTGGGGGCATCAGGATTGGGCATGCTTCCAGTTCTGGGTATTGGTTGAGATGGTGGGGTGCGTTGGCTGGCTACCAGGAAACCGCCGTTTCCTTGTAGCTGTGCCTCGGGCGAGCTGCCTCAGTTTCTCTCTGTGCTTCAATCTTCATCTGCAGAGTGAGATGTCCTTCCTACCTCACCCAGCGCTGTGGAGACGCTTACATGAGTTAATATGTATCAAGCACTTAGAATATTGCCTGGCACCCAGTAAGTGCTACACAGATGTTTGCAATTATTATTTTCACTTTAACAATAATCACTTAAGACATGTTATTACTGGCCGGGCGCAGTGGCTCATGCCTGTAGTCCCAGCACTTTGGGAGGCTGACGTGAGAGGATTCCCTGAGTCCAGGGATTCGAGACCAGCCTGGGCAACTTAGTGAGACCTCATCTCTACAATAAGTCAAAAAATTAGCCGGGCGTGGTGGCGTGCATCTGTAGTTTCAGCTACTTGGAAGGCTGAGGAGGAAGGATCGCCTGAGCCCAGCAGGTCGAGGCTGTGGTGGTCATGAGTGTGTGCCACTGTACTCAAGCCTGGGCGACAGAGTTGGACACATAATTTCTTTGGTCTTACAGAACATGCCTTTGTAATCTACATATATTTAAATAGAGTAGTATATTATTTTGGTCTAGCAAGTCAGGAGTCCACATGAACCAGAACCAGTTAGATTATTTCGGCTATTTTAGTTAAAATTATTTGCTTTATTACTTATTGATTCCGAGTCTCATTCTGTCACCCAGGCTGGTGGTGTGCAGCAGCAGGATCATGGCTCCTTGCAGCCTCGACCTTCTGGGCTCAGGCAATCCTTCCACCTCAAGTCTCCCGAATGACTGGCACTACAGGCAGGCACCACTATGCCTGGCTAATTCTTTTGATTTATTTTTGGTAGAGGCTTAGTCTCACTGTGTTGCCCAGGCTGGTCTCAAACTCCTGGGCTCAAGCTGTCCTCCTGCCTCGGCCTCCCAAAGTGCTGGGATTCTAAGCATGAGCCGCCACGCCTGGCCAATAATATTTACTTTTTAAAATTAACTTTTTAAAAAAATAAACATAGCTGGGCTCGGTGGCTCAGCCTGTAATCCTGTGCCTTTGGGAGGCTGAGGTGAGT